TTATGGTTGTATGATAAATTATATGATAAATTAATATAAGTTTAGATTCTGAGCGGAGTAATGGATGCATTGATTTTAGATTGATGTGCGTAAGTAATCTATGTAGTTGAAATAATGCCACGATTTTCAACTTCAGTGTCTTATTCGATGGGTCAATATTACTGACCGCCTATGTGGTACGTAAAATTAGCTGTGGCTTAATAATTATTATACTAAAGAAAAATACAAATAATTTAATAAATATGGTGACTAATAACAGTAATAACCAATAAGTATTGTGATGGTGCAGTTTCGCACTATTATTGTACTTATTTATATTTTATTATTATAATATCTTATAGAGGTGTGTGTCATCTTACATCCGTTTTCTGTATTATCCGGAGTCATATTATGAGTTGAACTATTTTGACAAATAATAAGCAGAATGTATAAAGGTAATAATAATCCTTTAGCCTGCCAAGGTATGTGCGCTGGACAGGTCCGGATAGAATTAGCGAGTTACTGAGATTATCTCGGTTGACTATATTCTGATAGATTTTGAATTCAACTTACTTGTTCTAACACAATTTAACGGGTTTTGGGCTGGTAAAATGTCTAAAACTTGGTTGGCCAACACCTACCTACGTACCCTAAACTATTTGGTATTAATCTGCCACTACATATAGATAGACAACGTGTTCGTATAGTTACCATGTAACATTAATATAATATATGACATAAATGAATGAACAAGAAAAAAATAAATTAAGAAAACAGTGCAAAAACATTGTCATAGGCCGGGGATCAAACCACGGACGTTTATTACCTGTTGATTAAAACTTAAAAGCGACTTGTTTTAGGTAGAACGGATTAAATAGCTATTATTTTTGAAAACTGACCGGACAAGAAATGTGGAAAAGAGATGTAGGCCTCTAATCTAACTTTCCAGTGGTACTTCACCTCCTACTGTAGTCTGTAGATGGCTTCAGAGGGTTTAGTTTAGGCTTTCGGAGAGCTTATTTAGTTTCAACACTTTTCAGATCGACGACGCCATCGGACTAAGTGTTTTAGCTATATTTTCTCGAGCATTAAAATATTGAATTTGTTTGTTCTCGTGGCAACGAATCGAAAAAAAGGCAGACAAGTTGGTACCGTTTTGCTGTAAAGTAGGTTTCCAGCATGTCGTTGTAATAAATGTGTTATATATTTGAAGTAAATGATAAATCATTGCATACAAAAAGCGATTCTGAGGCGAGATGTTCTGTTACCCAACCCTAGCGGCTATCATAAATAATTAAATTTAATAGTCGAAAACAATTTAAAAAAATGAAAAATATCTCATGGCTATAAATAGTGTAATTTTCAGGTGAACTTTTTTTGTTGATAAAGGTAGAAAAACTTCTTGGAAGTTTTCTATTAAAATTTCTTATGTTAGCTATGAATGTTCAAATGCTTACCAATTTCTAACTGAAAAATAATTCGAACATTTTCGAGATTTTGATAAATTTTGTCAACATTTTAATTTTAAATGCAAATAAAAAATAATCGTGTATAATACGTATGACGTATCTATAATATTTTTGAACTTTCATTAAATAAATTTATGAGAAACCTTGCATCAAATTTCAAGCTTTCAGGTGTGAACAATTTTCCAAAATAATTTCAAAAAAATTTTTTATGGCTATAAATAGTTTAAAAATATTTCGATAATGTTAACATTTTTGGTGAACATTTTAAGTGTTTAGGGTTATACCAAAAAAATAATTGATTTTTTAAAAAATTGGTTTTTCGTAACAATTACAATTTTTTACTTTCGTTTTTCCTGAGGCTTTCAAAAACTCCGATGAATTTTCAATTTTTACTTTTTGTAGCAGGTGGATTCACTTTTCTATCAAAAAAAAATGCTGATATCAAGAAACGAAGCATATTATTATCATAGCTATACTATCCCAAATGTTGATGATAGACGAAAAGAAAAAAAACACACATCATTGTAAAATAAATATATTCATTCTAAAATACATAGAAAAGACATAATAAGTACAATTTTATTTGATAAGCGTTTTAAGGTCAAACTGTCCGTCTCCTTAAAGTGCTCAGAATTATTGTTTTCTTAATTAATTTACTTCATTCAAATTGACTATGTGGCAGAAGTTAGGTCTATGGCTTTCAATATTTATTTTAAAAATAATTACCTTGGTTGTTGTCCACAAAGCTCTTCAAGGAAAACAAGTAGTTTTTTTTAGTCAAAATATTTATACCATTATTAAACGTTATGGCATAGGCGTTATAGATACTTCTCTATTGACATTGTAGACTATATTTATGAAGGAAAATTATATAACAGTTAATTGATTGATCGATGAATGTATTGATTCTACAATGATGTGAGTTTTTTATTTTATTTTTTCATAATAGCATGTATGAGCTCCTTGGAAATCTTACATACTGTAAGATTATGTTTTTAACAGACCCTGCCTTTGAGAACATATCATTTGTATTTATACGTTTATTTTATTATTATTCTTATTAATTTATTGTATCAGTTAAGTTTAAATAAAATATTTTGCGAATCAAGATAGGTAGGTAGATAGGTAATGGTATTCGTGCTCAATGAGAATAAATAATGAATGGTTACATATTATGTACAATACAGATTGCAGTTGGCAGATTCTCATTAATTTACATTAAGTAGGTACCTATTTATTATGCATTCTAGTCAAAATAAAATAATTAACAATTTCATGGGTTATTGACTTTGGTCAATTATAGACAGATGTCATCCCCTAAGTGACTTTAAAACTGAAAACCAATATCACCATGGTAAATCAAAGAGGTATAATACATGTTCAATGTTGTCAAACATAGAGCAATGTTCTAGGATTTGTCAATTTAAAAAAAATATGCATTAAAGTTCAAAGGTCTCATAAATATGCCTAATGCAAAATTGTAGTTGGTAACGGCCCTGTACGCGACCTTAAAAACCAGTAGCAACCAAAGGATTTTTTTTTGGAAGTGGTTATGTTAATAATAATTTTTTTGAAATTTCATCCACATAATATATACCTAGCTCTGATACTAGAGAAGTAGAAATTAGAAGCACATATTTTTATGATTTCTACAACTTCAGAATTACATTTTATTGTTTGCATACTTATAATTTAAGCCATTTTAATCTTCATGCTACCATACATAACCATAAAAATGATTTATAGGTCGTTGCGTATTGGCGCTTGAGTGTTCACCTGCGACAACGATTTTTAAATTCGAGTTCAAAATATTCCAATCGACTAATTGGTTTGAACTTACCGGCTGAGATGCTATTATATAGTATTACATCGACGTTAATAAAATTGCATTTCTGTGAAATTTACTAGACAAATATGCGAAAAAATCATTAAAATGTTATAACCATTAATGTATTACCTTTATATAAAGCAAAATGTCATTCATGGTTGTCAGCACACTATATATTATTACATAAAACTAGTAAATAATAAAAACGTTCGGTGAAAAGAACATTGCACGGTGCACATATTAATACATAAATAGATTATTATATTGAGTATAGGAAAGTACTAACATACTAGCTAATACATACTTACAACTTATCTACTGGATATTTTAACCATTGATAAAAATAAATATTTTTATATCGTGTGGTTTTTTTTTTCGTTTCTATGTATATAATATATTACATTATAATAATATTATAATTTAGCAAAATATAGCACTCAGATAACTTTATACCAGTTCAAAATCTGTAAAAATTATCAAAAATAATCGGGACAGACAATAAAACAATACATTTTGGAAATCAAGAATTTCTGTACAGCAGTTTTCAACAAAATTGATTTTTTTTTTTGATTTAACCCAAAATGAATATCTAACCGTGTATAAAGATTTGAAATTCTCCCCGAATATTTATATTAGAAATTATTAACATAAAATAATATTCAAAAATATTTCGATGATTTTTCCGATTTGTGTTATTTTGAGTGATTAATAATTGAAAGAGTACTTGTGTAATATATAAATTAATGATCACCCAAGACCCAACATCCTCTTATGTTCCAAGTTCATGTGATTCTGAAGCAACACATGGACCAAAGGATAGCCACCACTGAATATAAATAATTTGTAAGTCAATATCATGTATGTCGACCCAATTTAATTTAGTATTTCCTTTTAGGTTTCTAAACATATATTTAGAACACTTTATATCCCCGTCGTGTTCTTCCATTAATTACCACTTACCAGTAAATAGTTACGATTGCTTATATTAATATATTTATTTATTATCCGGTAGTATGATGATTGTTTGTAATACGTTTTTATAATTTTATAACTGTTCAGTTCAAAGTAAATTCATACTAACCAGTATTAAAAGAATAGAAAAAATATCAAAATTTGAATATTTAATATGGATTTATACTAACTAGTACTAAACATATAGGTAACAAAATATAATAGTTTAAACTTAATTTTAAATAGTTTAATATGGAACTATAGTTTATTACGTTGTGTTAAAATATATTAAGAAAACGGGAATTTAGCACGCTCTCAGAGTGAGCTTTCTTTACTTGTTTATAATTATAATATATAAAATAATTATTATATTATCTATTTCTTTCTTGGTGAAGTTTTTAACAGACTTTTCTCCGCTATATTTAAATAAAAAAATACTTTGAAATTCATAATCACCTAATTTACTAATATTACTTAAATAAGTCCATATTTTATTGAATTATTATTATTGTTTGAGATTAATCATCTCATATATTTTATCATCATTGTATTTTCATTTAATTTACTAATAATACAAAATTCAGTAATCCCCAACTTCATGAAAATAAAATAATTATTTGTGGAGGTTAGAGGACTTCTAAGATATTGTCAATAACACAAAAGACTTAATACGTAGGTAATATTGTATGAATAAATACAAAATATATACCTACATCATAATATTAATCAATACATTATTATCATTAGAACAAATTGAATAATTATGCCATACATTTGTTTGAATTAGTTTTATTCAAAAAAAAAATCATTATTGCTTATAAAAGTTCAGCGAATTTTATGTCAATGAATATAATAATCCAACGGCACTAAAAAATGAAAATATACAAATTACGTTTATGAATACAATAAAGTAAATTATTATTATATTTGTTTTAAGATTATTTAAGTTTGTTATGTTATTATTAATTTATAAATAATAAACCAAAAATCTATTTATTTATATTTTAGCTATAATGTATTTACACAAAATCAATAAAAGGTAAATAGAATACAGCAAGCATAACTATATATGAATCAATCAATAACATTATATTTTTATAATATTATAGACGATTAATTAAACATTTTGTTTATGATCTAAACAAAAGAACTCATTTAAACACAAAAATATATAGAATATTTTTCCATTATTTACTGGACATAAAAATCATGAATATATCAGATAATCTTAAGTTTTTACTTAAATTTATTTCTTGATAACATCAAAGTTGTCAGCTTTCAATTCCTGTGACTTCAAAGATGCACCTCCAATGGAAACCTTTGATTGACTTTCAGATCCAACACTAGCGGACTTGAAAAGAGATGATGCGTCAGATGATGCCGAATCAGCAGAGAAAGTGTTGAATGGAGCTGGTGTCGAAGATCCGAAGAAAGATTGTTGGCCGAAACTGAATGGAGCAGCTGATGAACTAACGAAACCATCTTGGACGACGTTTGAGCCGAAGAAACCAGCTGGGCTGGCAGTTGAGCTGTACGAGGTTATTGGGCTAGCGGTAGAGCTGTAGAATGCACTTTCAGATGCTGGAGTAGAGCTGTAGAATGCACTTCCAGAGGCTGGAGTAGAGCTGTAGAATGCACTTCCAGAACCTTGAGCCAAACCGGATGAGAACGCTTTGTAACCAGATTGGCCAATGAGAGCTTGACTGGATTCATATCCTAAAGCGACTGGAGATTGTTGATAATAGTGAACAGTGGCGAAACGTTGAGCTGGAGCTGAAACCGGGACTGGGACCTTAACTTCAACTGGAACTTGAACTGGATATGGAACTCTCTTTTCTACGGGATATGGGACGGGCCTATCCACGGATACTGGAACCTTAACTTCTACTGGAACTGGAACATTAACTGGAACTTCGTACCTTACTGGATAGGGAACCCTCTTTTCAACGGCATATGGGACTAATTTTTCTACTGGGTATGGCACAGCCTTTTCTACGGCGTATGGCACTGGCTTTTCGACAGGTACTGGGTATGGCACTGGTTTGTCAACAGGGTAAGGTCTGTCAACATTTACTCTCACTGGGTAAGGCACGGGTTTCTCAACTGCGTATGGGACGGGTTTTTCAACTGGAACTGGAACTGCGTACGGTCTGTCGACTGGGACTTTCACTTCATAAGGTACTGGCTTTTCAACTGGATATGGCACTCTCTTTTCAACTTCGACTGGATATGGCTGAGGAACGTTAATTGGGCGGTCTACATTAACTTGTACTGCGTATGGCACGTGTTTTTCTACTGTGACTTGGTATGGGTGTGGTACACGAACATAGACGGGGTATGGAACTCTCTTTTCAACTTGGACGTAGTATGGAACTGGAACTTCCTTATGGATGGTAACTTCATGGTGGGGTGCAGGGGCGTTAGATACGACTGGAACTTCAACAGCATCGTGGCTAATTGAGTCAGACTTGATGATTGTTCCTTGAGAGTAGGCCGGGGCAAAAGCTCCAGAATAGTATGAGCCATATGATGTAGCAAAAGCGGGTGACCTATTTAAAAGAACCGCTTCTGGGTTAGATGAAACAACGGGTGAAGCTCCACCTGTTAAAATTGAAGCCGGGGTGGAAGAATATGCAAAGCTTGAATCTGATAGTGCGGCACCAGATATGAAAGGTGCTGGTGTAGATGAACCAATCAGAGCAGCTGGAGTGGAAGAAACGAAAGATCCATCGTAGAATGGAGCAGGTGTGGAAGATCCAATGAATGATGCTGCATCGAAAGATTGAGCTGCAGCAGCATTGGAGTAGGCGTTTGACGCAAAAGAGTTACCGAATGCGAACGGAGCTGGTGTGGAGCTGTAAGAAACGGATTTGAATGGTGAAGCAGTTGACGAGAATGAGCTGCCAAATGCAAATGGGGCTGGGGTTGATGTGCCAAAAGTTTTGGCTCCAAATGAGAATGATGGGTTGAATAAAGTGTCTCTTTTCTTATCGTTTTTATCCAACGACTTGACGTCCGCAAATGCGGTGGACACAACTAGGAGTCCTAGAAAAGCTACTTGGATCTAAAAAAACGAATAATAATTAAAATCATACACTAATAATTATTTATAAATCATATAATATTAAAAAATAAAACCTAGAAGGGCAAAAAAAATATTTTTTTTTCTTACGTGTAACCAACTGCAAACAGAAATAAATGAATATGCGATAGTAATATTTTAATATTATTAATGGCGGATAAGCCTACCTAAAATAATATTGGTCCATTCTATAGTCAAAACTTTCCTTGAATCGTCAAAATCGGTCGAGTATTTTTTGATTTTTTATAAGCCTCAACCTGCACCTTGCCCCTTATTTATTATAAAAGCGGTTATTCAGTTTATATTTATATAGAATACTAGAATAGTTTTATTAGCCTAAATAACAAAATATAATAAAATATAGACAATTATATCCGATCATAATAAATATTTTATTATCTTTAACCAATAGCAAACCCACATAAAAAAGAAAAAATATTCAATTTTTGTGAGCTGAAACAAAATTCCGGTTAAGGGTCATTCGTCCTATAGCGACATACATGATTACAAAACGAATTTACAAACTCTCCGAGTCTAAGCGAATCTATTGATACAAGTATATAACATTTATTGAAGACTGTCCAGTAGTTTTTGTGGCAATAGATGTCAAATAATGCATTCATTTTTAACATAATTTAATTATATTAAAGTCAGTAAAAATTATTGAAATATAATATAATTTTGTGTACAGCACAACAGTTCTTCTGCTGATAACCTAACATAACGAGTAAGTGTATAATTTATTATAATAAACTACAATAAAAAAAAAATTAAAACATTTTACAACTAATAACTAAAATAATTTAAAGCATTCCATAATAATATCAAACATCTTTCTATAAATATGGTTTTTAGTAACTTTTTATTCTTGTTTTGTCTTAACAAGACACGAGTTTATACTTGGGCAATCATAGTTACTTCTATTGGTGAAATTTATAATATTGGGAATGATTTTTATATTTATGAATTATTAATTTATAATTTGACAAGTTTGAGATTTGTATGTATCTTTAAGTTATAATCATATCATAAGTATACCAATGCAACCAGTGGATAAAAATAATATTTACTAACTGAATAAAATAAATAGTTAAAATATTCAAAAATATAATAATAGTGTTCTGTTTTTTTAGTGTACCTATCTGGTACTATAGTACCTATAAGTGCATTACGATTAATTTCTAACCATTACATTTTTAATGCTATACTCATAGATTTTAATAATAATTTTAAAGGAAGAATAGTAAAAGAGTTTCAACTTTCAAAACACATTAAATAATTTGGTTCGAAAAATAAATAGGCATATCTACAGCCTTTTTTATTGCTTAAACTAGAATTTAGGTAATTTTAAATACCTTGAAGATGTTTAAACTTAAAGGCTTACTAGTTACTAAAATAAATAAGAAATACTTGGATACTAAGTTACGTTAAGGATATAGGTAGTAGGTACCTACTAATTACTATTATATTACAATTATACTGCGGTATAATTCTTAAATGAATAAAATTGGATCTCTGTACATAATTGTATGTTTTTAGTAAGATTTTTAATAGTTGGAAACAGCTATAGAAGTATATAGTAATGTGATAGGTAAGTATAAAACGAAAATAATTTTTTGTTTTTACTCACCGTAGCACCGAACGCCATAATGCTTGTCGCTTCTGCCTTGTTGCCTGCTGTTGGTACTGTTCAACTCTGCAGCTACCAATTGACTGGATACTTTACTGAACACCGGCATTTACTATATATACACATGCGGGCACTACAATCTACTGGATGGTCGCCGGACAAAAATATTGTCAAAAACCAGTAATCTGGGATGGGAGGATTTTTTATGAACATCTGAACACAAAAAAACCCCTTCTACCTATGTTCCAAGGTTTTTTTTTTTATTACAATTTTTTTGAATTTTTCAATACATTAAATGTAAATAGTTGGTCTTAAATTGCATTATACATAATTTTATTAAACATTTTGTCTCTGTGTGGTTTTTTTGTTTGGTCTTCTTATGTCCGAAAACCGGTTGTCCGTCTGCTCATCCGAGGGTTGCATAATCTTAATATTATGTATATTATGATATGGATTCTGCAAAATGGGCGACCTTCGGCCACTAAAATGTATACCGTTCCACATCTATTGACTCGCAGCCATTCGCTTCTTCAATATTGTCACTAAGGTGTCGTATAATATGAGGTGAATGAGATGCGCTCGGTAAATGGTAATCACGATTCACGATGATATTGGATGCAAAACGGGTCAAATCGTATTTATTTTTTTTTTACTAGATTTTATAAAATATTATTTAAAATTATGGAAATATCAAATTTACATAATGTAAATGTTGGTTGTTCATAACACTAACGTTATTATAAATTATTGTATATTATTATACATCGATAAGCCATATACGTGTGTGTTACGAGTTTCGACCTAAAAATACATCATAGGTATATTAATATGCAGTTATTATTTCATATTTTTACTTTCATTGTTACTTATTAGATATTTAAAATCACATGATTTTAGACATTTTACAAATAATATAACGATCACATCCTAAAGTTACCAAAACCTACTTATAAAATCGGTTTGTTTTGATTTTATTTTATTCTAAAAATGATTAGGTTTAATTAAAAATACTATTCTAATATTTTTTAAAACTTAATGTAGGCACAACCAGTAGAGTATGTGTACTTTTGTAGCCAATATCTATACCAAGCGTACTAATGTACTGTGATGAATATAATTAGCAGCAAAGTTTTGTATTACAATTTAAACTGCCTATTATAAAATAATTATAATTAATAACAAACGCATTTGTATACGCATGTACAATTAAAATTAAATTAAAAGTTTTAATCCTATTGATAAGTACAAACCCAGTGCAAACCAGTAGAACCTACTGTTTTCAACTAAATGCCGTTCAATATAAAATAATAATATAAGATCTATCGATAAAACTAATCACAAAACAACTGTTTTTAATTGGCTTTTGCAGGAACTATAATTTTAACTGTTCAGAAATATTATGTCTTTGTATACTTTATTATTAATTTATCCACTGATATTTTTTAAAAATTGTAAGTGCATTTTTAAATGTTATAATTCCTTTTTACCTTTACACTGAAGTTATCATTGTATTTAAATAAGCTAACAAAAAAAAAAACCTCTAGTCTCTACACTGTATGTTTATGAATAAATGTATAATTAATAATTTGTAATAGTATACAACTTTTTACTTTCAAGTTCCAATAAAAGCTCTGCTTAAAGGAAATAATCCATTACAATAAACTTGTTTCATTCAATAAAAGAAAAAAGTTTCTCGTAAGAAGTTTATACGGAAATCAAAAAATGTAATAAATATTTCAACACAAATTATTTTTATGGCTATTTGAAGGTTAAATTTGGACAAAATTAAATATATAGATACATACTACATATATTATACGAATAAGAATTTTAATATTTTGTTTATGCTAAAAATTAATATTCGTGGGGTCAAATCATTTAAAAAAAATATTGGTTGACACTTAATAGTAGAAAAAACCAACTTCTATTTCAAGGGTAGTTTGATACCGATTTTGTAATTCATCTAGATAAGATTTTTATTTTATATTATTTTATCTGGACAGGATATCCAAATAAATTTATTTAACTAAATTTAGCTAGGTACTGAAAAACTCTGGTCGTAACACACAATTATGATACTGCCTACTCTCTGTGACTCTCTTCCCTAGTTCTAAGTAATAACAACACAATAATAGGTACTCATTAATTAATAACAATAATATTAGATAAATAATGATACATAAAAACCGCTGTCTAAAAAATTCGTTTGGGTACACCACTGAAGGTGAATTATTGAACTTCAACACTCATCTTTCCCAAGGGGAGGATGCTCTTTGCCTCCTCACCACCTGGAACCGTGACGGGCATAATATAATGTGAATAAATTATCTACTCGTATACAAATAGATTTTATATTTTTCACTAAAAGCTAATTATAAATGATAATACATTAATACAATAACTATGATGTACAGTAATAATTATATCAATTTTTTTTTGTATTACCCACTAGTCGTCAGAACCGTTTTATCTGGTTCACTGTTTCTTGTCATTTTTTTTAATCAGAAAACCGTTAGGATACATCAGTATAATGTGTTAAGATAGGTATTATATATTATTATATATTATCAATATGACATCCATTGATCAAATAAAACACCGATTTGTGAAGTTTTGTTCAAAAATACATTGAAGTATATAATATAGATTTTAGGTATTATGTTTTTATGGTCTTTCACAAATGGGGACGTTGGTACGAGAACCACTTTGAATTATCCTCTGGCCTCTATAGTCTATATAAAAAGGCCCTTGTCGTATTAGATAAATATAACCCTCCAATAAATCATAATATATTATATAGGGTGATTATAAAGTAAAATCTGAATTTTGTAACTTTAAATATAGGTACTTTACTACAGGACCATAATTTCAAGTTCTATAGATTTTGTTGTACTATAGCAGTGTACTACTTAACAAATGTCTCGTTGAGATACAAAACAAACTTCAGTTTTTCAAATGAGAATCTTTTTAGAATGTAAATTATTTAGTGAATAATATTGTTGGTACAGTGTTGACATATCGAAATCGAAATTCAAACGAATAGTTTTTTAATTACCTACTTAACTTTGTGTACTAATGGTAATGGGTTTGGTAGATATAGGGACTATAATGATTTGAAATTATAGTAATTATCAAAAAGTGGTTTAATAAATACTTGATTCGATATATTTATTAATTTTTTATTTTTGTAAAACCATTTTTAATTACTATTATCCTTAGTAAAAAAAATGTTAATAACTGAGAAACTACTCGTTTGAATTTTGATTTAGATAGGTATGTTGAAATCGTCAAAAAATGTTGCTACTAAATAATGAGAAGTAGAAAAAGGGGCTTCTTCTTTTAAAAATAGGTCATTCTTTAAGTAGAACAAAAAACTCGAGAATTTGAAAATATACATACTTGGTCTTGAAGCATATAATTATTTAAAAATTCCAAAAATAAAAAATATTTAAATAATTACAGTATTGAAGTAAAGGGCGGATGAGCATGATTGGTAAATCACCCTGTATATACTTATTTCATAGGCTTAATAAGTGATGTAAACCGAAGGGATGTTTCACTCTGTGGTTGCTAAGCTCCTGTGCAGTACTCCCGGAAACCTGACCTGGAATTTTATTAGCCCGTCTTCAGTGTATAGGTTATGTAATAGGAATGTTAAAAAATTTCATTGAGAACCTTGTATGATGGGGTATGGGTGGAATGAGCTTATATTATTATATTTCTATGGGCAGGTGGTATTTTCCTCCAATTTAAGTCTACTAAAGATAACAATACCTAACCTAACTTGGGTCAGAGAGAGAAACAATAAATGCATTGATATCCTCTTATAGATTAATAATTTGAATCATGTTTATGTAGGTACACCAATAGAAAGAACTGACATTCCAATACGATTTATGGAGATTATTTAATAATATTATAAAAAAAGTTTAAAAAATCGATTCGAAGACAAGTCAATTAAGTATACATTTTTGCGTATAGCGAGTTTTTGTTATATTTTACATTTATTTCTGCAGTATTACACTCTGTGTATAAGTACGTTTGAAAGAAACAATAAATCATAGCATTCGAAAAACAATTCTGAATGGAGCTCGCAGATATATTATAATAATAAATAATAATATAGTGTTTACGGAAAGTTGTTCAAACTTGAAACGCTCGTAAAAAACATTTGGAATAACGATTTTTGAGATTTTTTTAATAAAACTAGTACAACTACATATTACTATAACATTACTAAACAAACTTTGTGTTAGATTTTTAAATCTTTGAAAATATCCCAACAGGAAATAACCAGCACAGACCGAGGACGTCAAAAGAATTCTATATTGCAGCACTATTCACTGGACGTGTTCGAGGATGGTGTTCGTATACTTTTTGTTCTTTCTCTTGAAACAACTTCACGTTTTCGCAATTTCCCTAAGAAATTGTACTGAAGTTTAGTACAAAATGTCGTGTCATATACTCATATACATAGTACATTATATTTTATAACGATTACATTTATCGAGCGTATGTAATGTGCATAATTTTTTTAACTTACCTATGTGTATATTTCAAAATATTTTTCAGTCATGTTCATTTCAAATTTCAATAGATGTACTTCAAAAATATTGTCAAAATGTACCTAAAGGAAAAAATATTAGGCTAATATTGAAATTGCGGGTATTCACCTATTCGTGTATAAAAGAGTAATTCATACTTCGGTTAATAATTAGTCATGTAAAAATAAGGAGCAATTTAAAATTGTCTAATTGTTTATGTTATTTATTCACGTCTTATGCGCTGTACATTTTTTCGTGAGCTCGGTAAATTGGTAAATTTATCAGATTCCTACCTATCTTCTAACAATTTAAATTTAATGTGTGGGACAGACTACCAAAATGAATACCTATTTATAGACGCAGCGTAAACTAGATGTTGTTTTATTTGATATTTTAGAGCAAATTACATACTTACGTAATTAAATGTACCTATTGCAAGTAGTGCAAATAATTACAAGTATAACTTATACTTATGACCTATCGGAATTCGGAGTTAATTGATATATTATTAAACTGAAAGTTAATCTGTGTTTGCGAGTTGACTTTATTATGATATTTAAATGTACGTTTAAGTGTTTTAATAACATATGTAAAATAATATATTAGGTACAATTCAAAAGTGCTTAAATGTCGCTTTAAAATTTAACCTAACAATTTAACAAACAAATAGAAATATAGTTCCTAAATTTAAGTTTTATAAAAAGTCAATTCACTCTAATCTCATTGATTTTATACTAGATTTATAATAGTCTAATTATAAAATCAATGCTAATACTATAAAGCTGTTATTATAGCTAACAGCACAAGGTTGTTTTAATGAACACAAACTTGCTTTGAGGTGTATTGTGCTCGTGGGTTAGAGAGACAAAATAATCATGACATCCTCGTGTCTTGGCGTTTAAACTCACTGTGATAATTCAATCAATTATTTTGAATATTTTTACATCTACATAAACCATTTTAAAAACTTAAAATTGTTATTTTCGACTGTACTTGGCACATAATATTGTAAAGCATAAATTATACAGCCCGAACAATACAGGAATCGCTCTGAGGTTCGGAAACAAATCCTCCAAAGCATGAGCCAAACGAATTTTTTTGTCGAGTTCCATAATGATCGACGCCTATAAGTTTGACTGCGTTCTTGGTAACAAACAGTATAACCACCGGTCCATCTTAATCCAAACCAACCGGCACCGCCATCGCCACTATGGGGTTTGAATTTTGTAGCAAATTTCCATTTATGATAGTCGACAAAAATGTAAATACATTTATTTGAGGGTACTTACATTCGCCGATACATTAATTCATCTCATGCAATTCTGCTTATGATCAACTATACTATTATGAGTCAACAAATAAGATACCTATAATAGGTATTTTGCTTTTGTTATTCATATTTTTTTTTTGATTGATTCTATTTATTAACACCGATAACACAAAAAATGGTTGTGGTTATACTTTTCACTATAGCATTTAGTTTAAAAGTGGAATTAAAAAAACCATTTTTTTGTTAGCTGTTGCATTATCACCCACTGTTATTCCCCATACTGATATGGTTTGTAAACTGAATTCTAATTTGGTCAGAAATGAATTGATAATGTTAGTAGTGTTCTTTAAAACAGTATTGGAGAACGCACAAACTCGTACAACAACAGGTAGGTATAGTATTGAACACGATTTACCTGGCTGGGCACTTACCCTCTGTTTATTTTGCTCGGAAACATTCTTTTACAGCTCTGTGTTATAGTGTGGAAGACTAGGTCAAAGTATAGCGTACGTACCGCCGCTGCTTGTACTGCTGCAGGTTTTACCAATTATTTGTTTTATGGGAAAACTTAAAACTTTGATGTACATTTTTCCTAAAAAAAATCTCTATTATATGTGTCTAGTGCCATAAAAACTGTATAGGTTGTTTCCGTTGTTCGCTCGTATACGTTTTACGCGTAGGTAGTAAAATCTCCAGTGTATAGTGCGACAGTCGTAAAAGAAAACCAATAAGAATAATATAGGAACCATCTCGACGATAAAAATATCCAACAACCCATTAGTGCTGTAGTTGCATTCAATGGCAGGACTTAGTTTAAATGTTCCTGCGGATTATTGTAGTTATATATATATATATATTAAAAGTTGTATAGTTGTGTAGTCCAAACGTCGTATAAACTCTATATTATAGAACGAAAATGTAAGTAGGTAATGGTTTTGAGTGTACTAACACTGTAGAAGTTACACAAACTTGGTATATTTATTATATAAAGTATGTTTAATTACGTAATTGTAATATTATATTTAAAAAAAAAAAAAATTAAAATGCTGCCGGTGGATAAGTTTGGAATATAAAATCTTATGTTTTATTCGCTGCCTACCAGCTGAAAACGCACTATACGTAAACAATTATTCAAGCACAAGCGTTTTTATTCATCTACGACTGAATAAGGAGTGATACATAATTTATAATAATTGCGTTCAGAAAGTAATTAAACTCGGAGGTTGTGGGTTAGCAATATTATATAAAAAAAGTTTTAAAATGTTAAGTGCTTGTAAGTCGTAATTGAAGTATTATGTATGAATTAATATTTTCCAAGTGTGCAGTTAAATATCAATACAGACGAATTTAATATACTAATAGGTATTTTAGTATTTATCATAAAATTGTGATAAAAGTTTGTAACCTCAAAATAATGAATATTATACGGCATAATACAATTATTGCCTATCACGAACTTAATAAAATACGAACTAACAGCCAAAAAACCGCAATTAATATAACATTTAACATTTAAAACGCATTAACTCGTCCATGCATATTAATAAAAAGCATTGTTATTGACTTATTATGTACGTATAAGCGATCCAAAGCTAAGGCTATCACACTCATTGTTCTGAGATTTGATAAAAGGTAGGTATCCGAGGATGCACCCGAGGATGTTGACCTTGAAATCAAATTTTTATATTTTGTGTTTTAAAGAATGGCTCACACCGGGATTTGTTGGATCACGAAAAACAAATATTTTTTGTTTTTAAGGTTGTCATTGGTGACAGAAAATAAAATATTTATTATTAGATTGGTATAATTTAAGACTTGTAATTTATATTTAGTCAAAACCATCCTAATTACTATGTTAAAAATATATGTATAGTTTACATTCACGGAGTTTACGACAGGATAAATTCGCACTGACAATATTTAATTTTTACGGTAAATTCCATGTAGGATAAGCTATAATTAATAAACATTGTATATCTGCTATACTATAAATTCAAAGTCCTAAAACGGATGACCCTTATGCAAATCGACTATTTTCGATCGATTTTTATAAAGTTTTTCCAAATAAATTCAGCAAGAATCGTAGTGTGATTGGTAACTTTTAATTACTCACTTTTCAGCTCATTTTTGTTGACTCACAAATACTATCTTGTTTGATTGGGGGTGTAGCGATAAATGTATTGATTTTACAGATTTATAACAATGCGTGTTTTTTTGCAGGAAAAGTATAGAAGAAAAAATTATCTGGTTCTCAACTTTGAGGGTAGCTTTTAATGGAAAATGGTATCTAGCTAGTACTTTTGAGAGGAAAAATTTAACTTTCCATTAATTTACAAAATAATCGGGAAAAACCAAAAAAAAAAGAAAACGAAAAACTAAGGAAATGTAGAAATTTTTAGTATTTAAGCAAAACCAGTTCTTGACGAAATCGATTTTGTTATTTTGTATACAATACTTGGCATTTTCTTTGTATTTACATGACATAACGTTCAATAACATTTTGACGCTTTTGAGATATTCATAGACATTTTTGATTTATATTATCTATACATGTCCATAAAAATGTTTTGCTGGGACAAAATAAAATTGAAATTTTAATAAAAATCAGTTCATGTAATATTGTAATGTATAATGAATTATTACTTGAATAAAAAAAATGAGTGTAATTTCAAAAATATTTTTTATGTGCGTCTGAAATTTAAATTTTGACGAAATTGGATATTTATTTGTAAAATGACGACTTATAATCAAACGTTTTTCGTATTTTATCATAATTCAAAAAACAAATAATCCCATATATTTGAATTGTTCACTATATGTACGTATGAATCTCATCTTTCTATACATGGCGTAATTTTCAAAATATTTTGTCTAATTTTGAGCTATTCATAGACATTTTACATAACCTAACCATTTTTTAACTTAACCAATATTTTATCTTTTGAATCCAAATTTAGCACATCCATTACGGTGCCTATACAATATGAGGTTGGTACACTCGACTCCTACGAGTCCTAGTTACCTACTGTGTAACAGAGTGGTTAGTATTTTCCCCTTTTTTTTATATACTGATACAGAAAATAAAATGATTTTATACTTGGAAAAAAAACCCAAATAAATGTGTTAAAAATCTGCAGAGTAGCTTACATTTAACGCAGTTTAAGAAGGGGTAAATCCACCGGAATTATTTAATTTGTCACGGGCATCTCCGTACAGGGTCAGCTAGTCATTATAGTATAATACAAAGATTTAGTTTTCGATCTTGCAAAACTATACGTGTATTACGATAAAATGCAAATGTAAGCAACAAAAATATTTTTTGTAGTTCAGAATGCCATGCATCTATAATATGTGCAGCAACTATTATTAGTATACAAATTTAATTCAATTATTTCAACTACTTTAATGTAAATAAATAAAATACCTGTTAAAATATACTTCCCTCAAACCTTTTTTTGTAATTTTACTATCGAATGAACAAATATTGTTAAATTATATAGTTGCTCTTGGTATATTTTATTTGATAAAGAAGAAGAACAGACGAAGTACCTAGATCCCCAAGTTCATGTTAAACTTCTTTATACTATTATATTTATACATATTTCTTACATCGTTAGGACGTTAATCGGGTGTGATATTTATGTTAAGTAATTTGATAATGTTGTAATATTTACAGAGTGAAATTATTAAATGTTGTTAATTTATTTACTAAGACCTGCGCACCGTGGTCAGATTCCCACTACAGTGGTCGACCGGTCTATGTCTCGCAATATTATACATATGCATATGAAGTAAACTATACATTATAATAATTTATATAATTATATTTCAGTGTGCTTCAAGTGAAAACGGCCTGAGCACATCACCGGGAATTTGATGGGTAAGTGATGGTTTTGTTCTTCGACGATATTCTTACAGATCGTAATCAATCATGATGTATTAAATAAAAACTAAGTTATAAATTAAAATTCATGTAGCTTTATATATACTCGTATATCTAATAAATTTAAAATTCTATGATTAATTCAAACTCCAAAATAGTTCGAATTCCAAAGAAATGTACAAACTCCAAACTGATTTAAGTGTTAAAATCAATGCGACTTAAATTAAATTAAAACTTGAATAGTATTAAATTATTTTTTTGGCTTGAAATAAAACTAAAAAGTTTCATTTGACATTGAATTCAAAAGTTCGATTCTGGTTTAGTTCGGTATTAAACAAAATGTTTAGTACCTACGGCTTCGGGTTGAGTTCGACATCACACCGAACTATTCGGTTCATAGACTATATTTTTGAAATTGATCCATCTCAATAAAATCAATTTACATTATGAAATATTTAAATGATAAGATAATAATATTTCATTTATGGAAAAATATCCAAACATTAAACAGTACTTAATACTGTTAATAGTAATTTATAAAATATAACAGCAATAATTGATACAGACAAATTATTTTTATTTTATCTCTTTCATTATTATATTTGTATACCTTTGTTATAAGTTTAAGACACATTTAAATTTATGGCATACTGGCATATAATATATACAAATTAATTAATCTACAAAAACTAAAAATTAAGAACTATTAATTATTACCTGTCATTTAGGCTCTTTATAAGTAATTGACAGCTGAGGCCCTAGTGGCGTAATTAGGAATTTGGTTTGGGGGGGGGGGATTATACGTTTTAGCAAAATCTGTACACCTCACACAGTAATCTACCTCCACCAGAACAAAAAAAAAAACAATTTAATATAAAATTATATATTTTATATCTATTATACAATATATACTTTAAGTGCTACGATATTTAGGTAGCTTGAATAATTTTACAAAACTAGATCCAATTTCTTTGGTTTTTTAGCTATATCATCTAATACACCTTCAGGATTAACCTTAATGTCTCTATGTACCGCCAACATACTTCACCCGTTAAACCTATCCTGAAAATGATTTAAATTGTTAGTATCATTAATTTGAAATATAATTCAAACTTTAAGAGTTACTTACTTCAGTCATAGTAATCCTATAGGTATGTTTTAACTCTTTTTAGATCTAAGAACATACGTTCAGGAGTAGTAGTAGATATACGGTAGTGAACACAATATTTTTAATAATAAATAAATGTTATTGTGTATATCTCTTTGTTGCATTCTGTAAGTGCATCAATCCCAGTTTTAGGTAGGTACACAGCTAGTTACTGTTCAGGATTCCATTGTGCATTGCCACGAGAGCAGGCACGGATCCAGAGCAAAGATCTGGGGGAGGGGGGGCACAATATTGTCAATTTAAAATTATAATATTGGAATCGCTGTCTTACATGAACTAAGTTAGTACTATCTTAGTTTCTGCACCCCAGGACGATACGTATAATAATATATTATAATATCAGACATATAAGTAATTTTAAATAGATATAGTAATATCAGGATGTGTAAAATTACTAAAAAATTTGAGAAATAATATGTATTGGGGGAGGGGAGAGGGACGGGCCCCTAGGCCCCCCTCCCTGGGCGCGAGTGTGTATACTTATTGTTGTATACTTGTCTATGAGCGTATGTGCTCTCGATAACGGAAATACAAGTATACAAACGGTCGGACTTACTTAGGCCGCGTTGAAGTATCATAAAATAATATAATTGAATTTAATCTGCCACAAGTTTAAACTCACAAGCATAATACATCTAATTCATTTTAGGTAAATTTAAACTACAATTTATTAATTGGAAGTAAAAAAAAATTGTTTGCTTCGAAAATGAGAGTTTAGTTTGAATGGTCATTATTCATTACATTACCAATATATACATCAAATGTTAGCTGTAAAAAAAAAATTTGGAGGGGGGATCTATCCCCGAATCCCCCCCCCCCCTATTTACGTCCCTAGAGGCCCATAGTATCCAGTCCGACCCTAAGATCAAATTAAAGTTATAATAAGTTAAAATAACTTGACCAATTTCAAAAACAACTAGACGGTATATTAAATGTAAAAAAAAATGAATAAATATTAATGTCATGGCGAGGTGTAACCTAAATCTTTTAAATATCTGAACTCCAAGGTTTACAATTAAATTAAATTATTATATCATATTAAATTATTCACATTACATAAGATGATATAATATGTATTCAGTGTAAAAGTATTACATACATATTTTTACGTCAATACACAAAGAAATAGGTAGGTATGGTATGTTAATATGTTATATATACTAAACAACCTATACATATTGTGAATCAATAGATTACAGGATTTTAGGTGCCACATTTTTAATTTAATTTAAAAATAAATCATGTAATTACATGCTATCAGTGCCATAACTGAGTAAAAAACTAGGGGGGGGGGTCTAAATATCTTAATCATCAAAGTCAAACCCATAACCTAACTGTTTATTTTTACTCAGGTCTTAAAATTCATTTTATGACTTAAAAACAAACCATAAGTAACGGCGTACCTATATCATAAAAATATAAAATAATATTAAGTACCTACCTACATAAGAGTTTATGATAAGGTGCTATAACTTATTTGAAAAAAATTATGTGATGAAAATCCTGTAATGGTGTAATCAATCATAATTTGTGAAATACTATTATTGAGTTATTTTTGTAACCCTGATAATGAGATTATGTTGACAATACGTCAACATGATATTATAAGACAGGAGAAACGTGAAATAAATTAACTATTATGTGTAATCATTTTGGGAAAAAATATTTTTCTCTTATACAATATGTAAGTACCTATCTAGAATGTTAAATACTTAAATGTACTTTTGCATACACTTTTTTTATTTTAGAAGATTTTTAAGATTTCTGTAGCTGGCAAATCTGGGAGGCGTCAAAATAATACCTTTCCTATTCCCCCTCCACACAATTACGCCACTGCATACGTCTGTATTATGTATGGTCACTTATGGACAGTTATGGTCTGTATATACATATTATCATTTTATTATATAACTGAAAATAAACATCATAGGCACATCATATCACAGATAATTTTACTGCACTGTACAAAAGTATGATAAGTACCTGCGAAAGAAAAAGCATAAAATATAAAATATTTATATATTATATAAATAAACCAAAACAATGGATAATAGGTGATACGTCGCTATACAAAGTTTTACACTTTTTCAAACGTTCATAACTCTAACACATAACATAAATTACTAATAAGTAATAAGTGATGTCTGAATTTTGAAATCTTTACACAAAATCATAACTATAATATTATAGAATACAATTTAATAGGTGTTGCTATTTATTGTCGCGAAGCAATTAATTGTTTAAAATCATATTTAAACAAAAACTAATTAGAAAAAAAGTTATTTACGAGAATAATCAGTAGAGAATGTATATTATCCAACTTAACGTTAATTTCAACCGAAACAACTGAAATTATAGTAATATATATTTCTAATATTAGAAATAATAGTTTATACTTATTATTAATAACATATAAATTACAAATCATACATTAAATCAAAATAACTTTTCAAATATCTATAATAGTTATTGTCAAACCGATTTTTATTTGTGATGACCGATAACGGGTTAAACGAGTTATGTCTTAATGAGAGATGTTAAAACAATTTATAAATAAATATCAAAAAGAAAATAATCTGGTAGACCTATTATCTTACATTCTGCAGTGTAAAAAAATCATACACAAACAACGTTATATTGGTTTTACAAAATTATATAGCGACGACCGGTCTATAGTCCGGTCTGTTACACAATTTTGAAAAATTTAAGTTTTGTCACATTTTAATTTTCTTACACAGTTTAAGTTTCAATAGCTCGCCGCTAATTCAATAAAATATTTGTGCTACATTATCATATGACTATATCTATATGCAATTATAATGGTTAGATTAGGTTAGCTAACTGGTAGTGTAAACACACCTCATACATTAACTATTGACCTTATGTATTCAGTCGTATAAATATTTTTTTGGTAAAATTTTTATATTGTTTTCAATTTAATGACGATTTCATCGACTTAATTGATGGAAATTTACAAGACAGTTTTTGAGTATGGGCAAGGTCGTAGCCAGAACAAACTTCTAGGACTTCACAAATTTTTTGTGGCATAGCTATATTAACTAAGTGAGCTTGATAAATTTCCAAAGTATTTCGTATTTCGAGAAACTAGTTGGAACCATAACTATATGCCTTACACACTCATTCGTCAATTTTTATATTAATAACATCTAATACGAACCAGAACTTTATGGTAAAATATTTTGTAGAAATCTGAGTCATATATAGGAAATAAAAAATAATACATGCATTTTTTGCATACATAGAGGAGGGTTTCAAAACCCAAAACACCTTTTGACTACGCCACTGCATGCAGATGTGGTGTCCTCTTATCTGTTTTTAATAAACTATTATATATCACAGAAAAAAATTGATTTAATTAAAAGAAACACGGTTACGTATGAATCCAATGAATAATGCAAAATAAAAAATCCATGAGATAGTAGTTGGACCTTCCCCCTCCTTTGGATTTTACCTTACGTATACCTACTACAGATTATAGAAACATAGTAAATGGTGAAATTTTGTAGTAAATCTTTATTCCAATCAAAAATAACTTTAGATGAAAGCGGAAAAAAAATATAATATAGAAAATTATAACGTTGTACTTATACAAATATTAATATATTTACGTGCATTTGCGGTATTTTATTTCAGACGATACGTCCATTACAACTTACTAACATTATACATGCTTAATACGACCATATAGGTTAGTCTAGTCGACGATTCCATCCTGTTTTATTAAAATATCTGACCGCCAATGATCCGGACTATAATATACTGCCATAACAGTTATGTGTTGACTAATCATTTTTTTTATCTCTCGGAC